AGACGAAGCCCCAGAATCCTTGCCTCCAAGGAGCAGCTTGGTTTAATCCTCTCCAAGATGGATCTGTTTGTTTTCCTGGCAGTCCAGGGTACATTCATAGGGAAAACCCTATGGAGTCCCTACATGGTACAAATGGCTAATGCACTTGGCTGCGTAAGCTAAAATCTGTAGGTTCTAGTCTACCTAAAGGCACCTAAGAAGAAAGGCCTGACAACTTGCTTCTGAAAGCCAGCCCTTGGGAACCCTACAGAAGACAGATTTTTCTATTGTGACACACATGTGTGGCTGCCACAAGTCGGAGGTGCCTTGACGAGAACTGATTTGATACCATGATGATATTCTCAGACTGTTAAAGACTTTCTGAAAATATAACTTTAAACTGCTACACAAGATTTTAGTACAGTGAAATACCACAATGAACCTATTACTCTAGGTTATACATTTAGGTTTCTTCCTGTGTTAATAAAAATAACCCTGCAGTGAAGATCATATGTTAATCTTGGTTGACCTTCCAGTACTTCCTTCATTTGAAGTATGACCAGACCCTGGCACTACCATCAGGGATCCACTGATATCAATTCCAGTTTGTGTGTTTCTTTTTTGAGTTGTTAGTGTTGCTGTATACTGTCAGGTCAGAATCAACCCATCGCTGACCCTCTATTGGGTTTTCAGAGGCAGTTAATTGCAAGCGAGGAGATTATCCATACTTCTCCTGCAGAGAGCTGGTGGATTCGAACCATAACTTCTGGGATTGCAGTGCAATTTCTTCTTTTTCTTTACTTTTAAAAAGTTTTTTATTTATTATTGTTAAATTTGAGTGAAAGAAAAGAAAAAATTTGAATGAAAGTTTACAGGGAACACTGTCACACAGACTTTTGTTTTTTGGTGGTTATTTGCAGTCTGATTTTTTCTTTTTTCGTTTTTATTTTATTGTGAAAAACATGTATGAGGATACAAGGGGGTGAAGGCTGGGAGCAGAAGAGTGAGGAAGACAGGTATGAAATCACAGGGCTGTACAATTTGGAGGGGAGGGGGAAGTAGGCGAAGGAAATGAGAAAGATCCAGTGGGGACAAGAAGAAATAAGGTAATGGTAAGAATATTCCAATGGCGATTATTATTTTTTTTTTTAACAAATAAAGTGTCTTATTCACTTGTGGATTTCTCATTTGGGAATGGGAGGCAGACTCTCTGGCTTCTTCATGCTGAACTGAGGTGTTGATGTGAAGGGGAAAGGGGAGCCCACTTTAACACCTTACTGGTGGTCCTGGGTTGAAGCTGCATGCCTTCTTGTTCAGTTAGGAGATATTTTCCTGACATTTTCTGCCCTCTGTACTGCAAAATGTTTGCCAAGGTGGGTCCAGTGGGGATGGGTGGCTGAACCCTGAGGCTCCATCCTCCTCAGCTTCCTTAGATGCCTGTTATATTTCCCCTTTGTATCTGAATCTGGGTTCAGGGTTCAGGTCTGAAGCAAATCTCAGTGTTAAGGTTACCTATAGGAAAGGGAACAAACCTAGAGAACAAACTTGTGAGTTACAAAGAGAAGGGCTTTAGAGGTGTTAAGTACGGGTGTACTTGGAGACAGGGTAGGGGAAAGTGGCTTAGATAAAATTGTTTGTATACCCTAGGCAGTTTTCCCCAGTGACCTGAAGGCTCTTCCCAGAGGCCATATGGCACACCCAGAGGGCCATAAGGCTCAC